AGACAGTTAGGTGCACTCACTCCTGAGCTCTTTCTAATGTTGTACAAAACATACGTCAGGCCACACCTTGAGGTGCATAATATTATTGCACCCCCAATGCTGAGAAGAGATGCCAACCTCTTGGAAAGAGTCCAACGACGGGCAACAAAAGGAGTGGTTGGTCTCCGAAACAAACCATATGATGAAAGGCTGAAGAAATTAGGCCTGTTCACACTTAGTTACCGTCGGCTTAGGGGGGATTTGATTACTGCCTACAAAATAACAAATGACCAGAATCACCCAAACAAAGGTGTTCTGCCATTGAGTAGGTATAGGCTTCCACGTGGAAATCCCAGAAGGATAGCTCACCAGAGGGCAAGGACCCGGGTGCGCTCCCACTTCTTTTCACTGCGGGTTTGTCGTCCCTGGAATTCCTTACCGGCAGATGTAGCTATGGCACCGTCTTTGGACGCCTTTAAGCGAAGGCTGGACAACCATGCAGCGATACAAGGACTGCATCCAAATGGCCTATCTCCTTAAAATCGCATTTACCAATCAGGGTAGATAATTAAACTCGTCATTTTACTTCTTTACATTCTCTCCCGTCTTACTCTCCTGACAACTTATTAATATTATAATTACTATTATTATTATTATTATTACTATTACTGATATATATATTATTCTTCAAACTTCATGAGCTGACTGTTGTTACGTTTCCTATTTTCGTTTCTGTCTCTTAGTCTGAATAGCTTCACTAATTATATCTATTATTATTATTATTACTATTATTATTATTATTATTACTATCTCTTTTCTCTTGTCGACAATACCGAAGGACTAACTGGCAAAAGGATCAACTCCAATCACAGTAGTAACAGTCTTAACATACCTCATACTACAAACCACATATAATTAATCCCAGCACTACTCCCTTTGGAGTCAACCAAAGCTACGACAGTCGAGTGGCGGGACAAGCTACGCAGAAGTTTACCGAAGATCAAGAACCTATACCTCACAATCAAGAAGCGAGCACAAAGAAATCAAATTGGTTTATACTAGCTCGTAAAAACGATATTGGATATTGGATATTGGATTGAATACCATGACGATGACCTTGACGGATTTTCATCTTTGTTGTCTGTCAAAATTACCTTACTCTATGTGAGTTCAATGAAACTCGTCACATGTAAGTGTTATTAGAAGATGGTGCTGATGTGAAAAATGTGATGTTCCTGCAAAATATTTTGTGAATATGTTTACATTTCGAATGATTTTTTTATGTACACGTATATATTTTCATGTATATAAATTGCAATATACGTATATCGTAGTTTATATGAAGAATAGAACGATCAAGGATAATTTAAAATTAGTAAAATGACAATGGATTTGAAGATCAGATCTTATCCTCCTACTTCGAAACATGAACATTGACACTTATCATGGTAATGTTAAATAAATATATGAAAACAAGCTTATGATTTTATTCTGCCTTTCTCAAACAAACAAGCAAACATATCTCCGCTACATTTCATATGAATAATCCGTCATACAATACTTAAAACTATATTGCGTAAACATCTCCCGTATATTTAAATATATATAATAGGTATTCGAACAACCGTCAAGCTCGTAACTAGTCGGTTTTGTTGGCCTGGTATTAATAACGAAGTAAGGGAATAGGCTCACACGTGCTTAGCTTGTCAAAAGTGCCCGGCTAGCGTTTTTTTCGAGCGCACTGCAGACGTTTTACGGCAGGCTTAGGGACACTGTCCCACGTATGTTTATGTGCCCTAAGTTTTTTGTCCCAAAGTCTGCAGTGCGCCCGAAAAAAATGCTAGCCGGGTGCAAAACAGTAAGACACACCAAAAACCCTCTTGGCATCTTTCTTATGCCTGATGCTCGTTTCGAACACGTTCACGTAGATTTGGTTGGACCCCTTCCAGAATCTCACAGATATACCTATATCTTAACCTGCATTGACCCTTCCACACGATGGCCTAAAGCAGTACCCCTCAAGGACGTATCTGCTGAAACACTCGCACGCGTCTTTGTCGAACGATGGATCGCAAACTTTGGATGCCCATCCTCCATAACAACTGATCGCGGGTGGCAATTCGAAAGCGGCTTATTCTTCGCCTTGACTAAAATCACAGGTTTTATGCGTTTTAGAACAACAGCCTACCATCCTCAAGCTAATGGTATGGTAGAACATCTGCACCGACAGTTGAAATTTGGTTAATCAGCTGCAAACAATATCCATTGGACTGAATCAAATAATAATAATGACTTTAATGAAGTGAAATAAAGAAGGATTTTGTAAATACGATAAAAAGTTAGGAAAAGCCCTACTTAAACTTAAGGTAATAAAATCATAAGAAAGGTCATGAAATCGTTAGAGCTCAAAAATGAACGTTTGCCAATGAAACAGAGGAATAGAAGAAGAAAAGAAAAGAAAATTGGGAAAGGAATTTATAGTGTTAATGTTTATGGAGGATTTGTTGGCTTTACTGTAGGTCAAGGTAAACATAGAGGCTGAACATACTTCTTCTGTATGCAAAGGGATGGTCTTCTGGCATTAATTGCAACCATTACAGCTACTGATAGAAGACAAAGTCGATTCTGATTTGCCTTTACTGCCTGGCTATTGCATGGCATAAATTAATGGATTTATAATTGTAGAGCCTGAAAAAGCAAGAATTTATTGAAACCACAATTAATCGCTCTAAATATTTTCCTCTGAATAAATCATGGGAATACTCAATTTACTAAAATCATTATTGTTTAAATTATCATATTTGACAGGCTGATTTCGTATCGAATATACAGAGTAATAATGTGACAACATCAGGCAAGGGCCAGGCAACAAATCGTTTATTAAGGAAATCAACACACATTTGTGTATTTTCATGTACATTACTATAGATTATTTAAGCAAGCAAACACAAACCTTGCATCGCTTTGTGGCTATTTCTTGAATGTCAGATCATCTATATGTTAGCTGTATGTGCCTACGCAAAGTCTACTGTCATTGGTTATTGAATCAGTCTTTGTTCATGTTTTCTCATGACCAATATTGGGGACATGAACACCGACGTAAATTTATGTCTACTAATTGGCTAGCAGCCAGCTCTCACCACAATACCGCCTCAGATAATATGTTCATAATATCCAGTAATGATGTTCACTATGGAAGTCGAAACGTTCTAGTGAGAATTCACTAATTTACGTGATTTATCCATGAGTTGAATGATTATATATTATTTATTATTATTGTATCCTTTAGTTCCTAGAGGAACATAGTGCTTCAGCTTCCCACCTCCATTGCCTTCTGTTTTCTCACAACTTTTTCACCTCGCTCCAGGTGTGTCCACATGCTTTCATCTCCTCCTCGCATGACCTCCTCCAAGTCACCCTTGGACGACCAACTCGCCGCCTCCCTTTCGGGTTCCACTCGAGCTATGGCTTGTCTAGTGACGTCGCTTGATGGTTTCCTCAGAGTATGGTCAGCCAATCCATCTCCATTTCTTCCTGCGTATTTGTTTCACAATCGGTTCCTGCTGGGTTGGTTCGCTCATTGCCAGCGATCCCTGTTGCTGATCTTTTCTGGCCGGATATCTGATCTTGAGTTGTATTGAGCGAAGACAACTGTTAATGAAGGTCTGAAGTTTGTTTGAGATGCTCTTTATAACGCGCTGGCCAAGTCTCTGATCCGTATAGTAGCACTGATTTTACATTGCAGTTGAAAGTCCGAATCTTATTTTTGATTCTGAGTGCTGTTGACTTCCACATAGATTTGAGAGTAATGAAAGCTTGTCTTGCTTTTCCGATTCTGGCTTTGATATCCTCGTCAGTTCCACCTGTAGTTGAAACGATGCTTCCCAGGTAGATGAAGGAGGCTGTTTCTTTCAGGTTCCTCCCATTTATGCTGGCTGATTGTTGTCTGTCGTTGTTGTTGCTGTTGATGTTGGCCAAGAATATATATATATATGTATATATATTTCTTTGCGTTATGAGTAGAACGTAGCGCTTCAGTCTTCACCTCTGGAGCTTAAGTAGAGGTGGAACGATGTATTCTATTGACACTATTTATAAGTAGTATATAGATATATCATCTGCAAGAATATTGACTAGTGAAGAGATGATAGATTTAATGGTGAAGAGAAGAAATGAGCGATGTTTTTGAAACAACACTGGAAATATGAAAGGAAAACATAAGTAGCAGAATACCGAAGATATGTACATATATTGATTCTAATATATGATCGATGTATTTTCCCTATATCTGTACATTGAGTTGCCAACAATAAATAACTCCACTTTGATTGGACACTAGTAACTAGTGTGATGTGTCTAGTCCTCTCTTTGGTACAGACTGAATTCTATCAGCCAGGTTTCCAATGTGGCCACCATACCACTAGGTACCTCGTCATCACGGTGCACATTGATTATATGATATTAGACGGTTGGAGGTAATCGGTCACAGGAAGCCTTGGACCTAGGTTTCGTGCTAGTCGGCAGTCGTCAGCAAGGCGTATCTGCAACCTTTGGGGAACTCATGTCCCTTGTGAGATTCGAACCCGTGTCCTTCAAGGTTGCAGATATGCTTTGCTGACTGGTGAGTGCCAACTAGCATGGAACCTAGGTCAAGCAAGGCTTCCTGTGGCCGATTGCCTCCAACCATCAAATAACTCCACTGCCATACATACATTCTTGTGTTCTGTCGTTACAATTGTATTGTCATGTATACTACAGTGAGACCGCTAGTCTCACACACCCAACCTTCCAGCTAAACGACGTTTAAGAAACAGGTCGTCGGCCGGGGATCGAATTTCGAACAGCGTTGGCGGTTGGCTAACATTCTGCCACTAAACAACCGAGGCATGCCTCTTCATACACTGGCTCAAATATGAGTTTGAAATGGTATTTAGATTGATACCGGTTGATTTTTGATATTTCTTAATAATAAACAACTGTTTATCCGCATTTTCCCCCTGTTTAGTTCCATGAATAAATAAATGACACGATCAAACTATTACGATGAAATCGCCTATCTGATGGCTAAGATACATACATGGTAATTAATTATTTCAAAAAATTTATTTATTGATTTTTTTACCTCCATAATAAAATCAAATCAAAGTAGAGAAAAACGCATGGAATTAATGAAAGAGTATGCATCAATAGAGCATAGTGATTCATACAGGTAAATCATGATAAATTGTTTCTTTTCTCAAACTATTGAACATTGATAGAAATGATTCTTTTTATAACCAAGTTATTCAATATAAAATTGATTTAAATCGAATTTGTGATAATATTCAAAAAGTGGAAAAAAGGCAGACAGATTTAAAGCGTCAATTTGAAAGAATTCAACATGATATCAATGCAAAAATACACGATAATAATGCATTAAATACCAGGCAGGTGAGTTTATTCATTTATTCCACTTGTTCAGCACAAATTATTGTTAATTTTATTTGATTGAAAACAAAACACGTAGATTAGCGAAGAGTCTCTTTTCGGCAGCGAATTCATTTTCTTAGCTGTACAATCCCATGTGTACATTAAATTTGTCAAACAAAATTGCAATTGGTTATGGTTATTTTAACTAAACAGGTGAAGATTGGTAATACAAGTCAAGAAAATTAAGTGTTAATGAAAAAACCTACGTGGAATAGTCAACTAACAAGCTTCTATAGCTGGGTACCCATTCAACAAAAGCGGAATTTAATTGAATCACTTGCCACCCGCATCCGACACATCTGTAGTCCCGACGTTCTGGAAACAGAATTAGATACTCTAAGAGAAATCTTCGTCCGAAATGGATACCCAATAAGATTTATCAACAAAAATATGAAACCAATAATTCGGAGAAACGAAGCTTTAATTGCGCCTAAAAAGAAACTCTACATGAACTTGGATTTTAAGGGAGATTTAGCAAGCGATATTCTCAAGAGAAGGATCACATCATCTCTCTGAGAAGAACATTCTTTGCGGCAACGCTAAGAATAGTGTTCTCCAGTCGCCCACTGAATCGGCAGAAGCCTCTAGGACAAGATCCCGCATCTGACCACTTCTATGTGCATATATCAGTCCACCTGCTGCTGTGGAGCCAGGTTCATTGGTCGTTCGACGCGCACCCTGTCCAAGAGGATTCAAGAACACTATCCAGCATAATTGCGAAAAGGCAATAGTGGTGCAATAAGGAGTGCGATAATTGAACATCTGGTTAACACTGATCATTCCATTTCAACAAACACCTGCTTCAAAGTAATCTACAGAGTCAAGAATAACCTATCAAGGACAATACGGTTTCGTCTTCTTTGTAGCCCTAAATCTCAGGCCATTCACATAGTAAAACCGGAGTTGTGCATACCAAAGAGAAGTACTCAACCACTTCTACTGTCATGGCAACAACTTTTTTTACTTAATTTGAGTTTTTGATTTTGATGACTTAATTTTGTTTCTTTGCCTGTTCTTTAATTGCTTAAAATTCATGTATTCATTCAGAACTCTTACGTAATTTCCTATTATCTACTTTGTTCCTCTGTGTATCCCGAGTAAAACTCACTCATCAAACTATTCATATTATTACATAACTTCTTCATTAACAACTGTTTGTGACAACTCATCACCTTTGTTACTACCCTAATTTCATTAACACCTAATTTTCTTGACCTGTATTACCAATCTTCACTTGTTTAGTTAAAATAACCATAACCAATTGTCTATTTTTGTTTGACAAACTTAATGTACACATACATACAAAACAACATATATATATTTGTGATTGTACAGCTAAGAAAATGAATTCGCTGCCAAAAAGAGACTCTTCGCTGATCTACGTGTTTTGTTTTCATTAATGCCTGGATAGGAGTTATCTATGAATTTTATTTTTAGTCGTCTTCTATGCCATTATCAGGAGTCACGCCTTCATTACTGGATAAAAATGGAAAACACGCTATCATTGGTGAAAAATCAGGGGAAAATATACTGAAACCACATCTGAGTGGGTTATCAACTTCAACCGGTCGCAAGTCAATATTTGCTGATCGACATCATGATAAAATTCAAAATAATAGGAAGAAAGATACAGGTGTTTCATGTTCTCAGGTAAGATTTTTTAAAAGGATATTTTTAAAAAATATATACATAGTGATTATTATATGGGGTGTAGAAACAGTTTTAAAAGATGAGAATTGATCTTGTGTGTGTGTGTGTGTGTGTGTGTGACGGGGTGGGGGGGGGGGGAATATCCCAGGATGAATAAACGAACGCTAGACCAATGTTTTTATCCTAATTCCCTACACATGCACATCGATAAGCCTGTAGAAGGTTGAGAATAATGACTTAGTTGTGTACTGATAATCCAGTGAATTGCTTTTTCCAGTGTTTCGGAAACATACTGTTACTTTTCTGAGTTCCTCTACTGATATACTACTTATGTCTGATTATAAGTAGAACTAACCATACCACCAAGTTATGTTTTCGTAATGGGAACGGAGGGGAGAGGAGAAAATAACAGCCAGAGAAATCTAATGAATAGTATTAGTTTGTAAGTTCATATAACAACTCAAAAAAGGTTATAGTCAATAAGGTCAAAGTTTTCTCAGTGAGGTAATATCAATATAATCATGGCGGAAATGCAGTTATCAAGGGAGTGAGATAATAATCACATTCTAATTTCTGTATGCATAAGTTTGGTCTGGAAACGTGCGATTACAATCGCCCCAGCAAATCCTAGTACAGTTTGCAGTCCTTTGTAGATTTACAGTTTTGAATGATTTAGAAATCTTGACAAAATGACCCATATCCATCCACAAGGTGTCTGGTAGTTGCATTTTGTAAATATCTGCTTCCCTGTAGGCATAATTTCCTTAGAACATTTCTCAGAAAACCGGATAGAAGCACTTCTTTCTATCCTTCTATTACACTTGCCACCACAAGTGTATGTCAATTTATAAACGTAGTTGAAGATGATATCAGTAGGGTGCTTCTCAAGTTCAGATAGTCTTATTAAGCCTGTGGTGTTGCATAGTGTTATTAGCTTAGCTTCAGAAAGGCATCTTTTTATTGCTGCTTTCATTCTACTGTCAATCTTCTGTGATACTGCTTTTCCTTTCAATGGAAGACAAATAAACACTCACTTCTTTCTCACAGATGAATGTTTCATTTTCTCCTCCTTTTCTCTGCTATTTTTTTTGTCCTTCAGGTTCCCAGTGGAACATAGGCGGCTTCAAGCTAGAGGCTTGAAGTTTCTGTAACAGTTGTGATTATTTTTACAGGATGAGTTTGCTAGCGTCATGCCCAACCCTGCCTCTTTACTAGTCTTATTACTGGCTTAGCGAGGTAAAGGAGTGAGTCGGTGGCTGGGGATCGAATACCCGGATCATGTGCATGATCGGCAAGCATCCCAACCGCTGTACCACCGACGCTTTATTTGCTGTATTTCTAAACAAATCCTTTTGGATATCCATTAGGTATTTCTCAACAAAGTCTAATTTCTTTCTCCCAGCTTGTTGGGTGAAGATAGCTTCCTGGCTCTGTCGTAGAGTATCTTCACTAATCCTCCCGTATAGCTGATAGGATAGAAGCTGTTGCAGTGAAGATATTGTTTGGTCTAGTTTTCTTTGCTACAAATGGACTTTTTGAAAGTACCACTGTTTCTTCTTCACAATATTAAGGAGATCGAGGAAACGAATATTTTTGGTCTTTTCATGAAACCGAAATGAATTTCGACTTGTGACTGTTTAACTTACAAATGGTTAATCTAGGTTTATATTTTCAGAATTATTTCTATTCAATTTGACGCACTACTATTATTCTACTTATATCACTTTGTCAATCAAAGTTACTGATGTGTCTTGTATATTAGCTACCTTAAATAAGTAATTATGATTGACTGAATTCCCACCGTAGATGTTGTCAAAAAAATTGAAGTATTTCAAGTTGTCACATTTTATAAGAGCAAATTTATTAGAGTAAATCGAGGAAAAAAGTTCAAAAAAGCAATGATAAATGTTAGTTTTTAATTTGACACTAGTAACTAGTGTGATTTGTCTAGTCCTCTCTTTGGTCCAGGCTGAATTCTATCAGTCAGGTTTGTGATGTGGCCACCATTCTAGGTAGCTCGCTATCACGGTGCACATTGATTATATGATATTAGATGGTTGGAGGTAATTGGCCACAGGAAACCTTGGACCTAGGTTTCGTGCTAGTTGGCACTCACCAGCCAACAAGGCGGCGTATCTGCAACCTTTGGGGAACTCATGTTCCTTCTGAGATTTGAACCCGCGTCTAATATCATCAAATCAATGTGCACCGTGATAGCGAGCTACCTAGAATGGTGGCCACATTACAACCTGACTGATAGAATTCAATCTGCACCAAAGAAAGGCCTAGACACATCACACTAGTTACTAGTGTCATATCAAAATATCCACTATAGTCCCACAGGAGGTCAATCGTGAGCCCGTGCGTCGGTGGCACAACGGTTAGGACGCTTGCTGACGATGCATATGATCCAGGGTTCGATCACCGGCCACTGCATGCCCTATATCAATGGTTGGCCTGCAAAATTTGGGCTACTGATATCACATGCTGAAAATTTCATACTTGTATCAAAAATACTGTGTGGAGTCAAGCTTTAATAAAACAAAAATTAAAAATATAGCTCAGTGGTAACGTCTCTGAATGCAGCTCTCACTGAGTGATGCAGGTACAAATCTCAGAAGGGACATGAGTTCCTTCAAGGTTGCAGATACGCCTTGCTGACGAGTGCCAACTAGCACGAAATCCAGGTCCAAGGCTTCCTGTACCTAATTACCTCCAACCATCTAATATCATCAGGTAAATGTTAGTGTCAGTAAAAAGTTTCAACATTGTGGAATAGATCAAATAAAGCATGATTATATTTCAACAGTTTACACACAATGATAAGTTTTGTTATTGATAACTGAAAGATCCTATAAAAATGATGGATAAAAACAGTGTGATTTACAAAATATCTTGTGCTGACTGACTGTCCGACTAAATATGTGGGTCAAACACGTCCAGATCACTCAAAATAAGAGTGAATGAACATAAACGCCTAACTAAAGGTCAACCAACAGGAACACAAGCTTACAAGAATCTTGAAAGAAATTCATCTATAGCTGCACATGCAGCATGGGACAAAAACCACAATATCGATTGGAACTATATTTGTATTCTAAATATGAACTAACATGAACAAATGGAAAGAAAGACTCATAACAGAATCGATATTCATTAAAGTCACACCGGATACATGTAACAAGGGTGACTCAGTACAGCTATCAACAACTGATATCAATCCGTGATCAACCCGTAAAACTTGGAATATAATTCTAAATACAAACACATGAATGAATGTGGAGTATAATTCTGAACACACATATGCACACACAAAACATGAATGAGCAAACAAATAATAATAACGAACTATATATATGAGTACAAATCACAAATGTGTGAACAAAACAATTCCAACAGTGGTGTGAACACGGGCAGTAATTTTGCTCGAAATATTACCAATAAGAAAACTTATCGTTGTGTGCAAACTATTGAAATATAATTATATTTTATTTTCTATAGTTTGGTTTGTAAGGATTAGTTATGTTTTTATGAGTTGATCACGGATTGATATCAGTCAGAGAACCATTGAAAACCATTAGGGAGTACTGGACAGCTACTGTTTCATCCTAGTTTGGGAATCATTGGCAGTACGAACCCACTGGGTTTCGAAGCTTTCAGTTACAAGGCAAGCTAGCTCGTATACCATTCAGCCACTGGGACCCGATTCAATGGCCAGTGTATGAATTCTAACTTCTACCAGTTCGTGATTTAGTGCGACCCCAACCAGTGTCGTCGGCGGGATATCCATACTTTATTTGATAAATGTTAGTGCATACGAGAGAGAGAGAGAGAGGATAATTAAACAGAGATTAATGAGAATTCATATAGAGTGAATAAGTCTAGGCCATTGATATTGTGATCGATATCCAGTCTGAAAATAAACCAATCAGAATTAGCCTACGTAAAGAAACGCCCACTACTTTACTAATGATGATTATAGGCTAATTGACATTACCGGGGTGAATTTTTCAACCGTACGCTATTGTCTGAATATATTCTTTCTGGTTATCTTCGTGTGTTCCCAGTTATATAGTAGTGGGGATATTTTATCAGGTAGACTTAGAACTCTGAAGTTGCTTATCACATTCGTATTGATTTTGTCACTTCATGGGGGAGGTAGGTGTTGTAAACAGGTCACATTCTCTTTTAGTCCATCATTCTAATTCAGGTGATTTGGATTCCATTTAATATGAAGTGCTTCTAAGGACATTAGATGTGTGAAATCTTTCTGGATTGTTTCAATATTGTCAAAATCAATTTTGTGGCCTGGTTCTTCAGTGTGTTTGTGTGTAGACCTTTGGCTGATGATTTTTCAAGCTTTTCTAGTTCAACCGCGTTTCTCAGTGGTCGAACAGAGGCGGCTTTACGGTGTTCATTTCTTCTGATTCTGATTTCTCGAGATATTTGTCCGGTGTATATCGCATTATATTCCAAGCATTTTATTTTATAAACACAATTAGATAGAGAATCCTTAGGAACCTGGTCTTTTATATGGACAAGGTTGTTTCGTAGTGGGTCTGATGTTTTGAAGAAAACTCTAATGTCGAGCTGATTGAGTACTGTTCTGATATCGTTTGACGTCTCTGATCCATCTATACGGAATGACGATTGTTGAGGTCCATATTTTGTCGGAATTCGTTTACGATCACGAGCTGATATCAGCTAAAGAACCAATGGAAAACCATGAAGTACTGGGCAGCTGTTTCGCCCTAGTTCGGTTTTCTTCAATATATATATATATATATATATATATGCGCCCACTGTATAGGGTTCAAATCCGGGACCATTCAGTCAATGGAACCCCCGATTCAATGACTAGTCCATGAATTCCAATTTCTGCCAATTCACGATATAGTTCAACCACCAACCAAAATCATCGGCGAGAGTAACTGTCCTCATGCCTAACTTAGTGCATCTTACTGGTCACAACTTCTCACTAGAACTGCAGGTAACTTTCTTGCAGTTGGTGGTGGTGAGCATCAGATTACTTTTTCGAGTATTGGTTTGTATGAAATGCAGTGGTTATAAGTGTGAATACCAGTTGACATTAATTAGAGAAACACTGGGAGTCAGTAGGGAGTACTGGAGAGCTGTTTCCTCCTAGTTTTGGACTCTTCATGTGTATACATATATTATTATTATTTTTCCCTTGGGTTCCTAGTGGAACATAGGGCTTCAACTACACGTCTCCACTTGCCACTTCTGTCTTCTGCTGTACTTTTCACCTGCATCCATGTTAATCCATACTCTTTCAACTCCTCTTCACACGATCTCCTCCATGTCACCCTTGCACTGACGTCCCACTCGCCGTTTCCCTTTAGGCCTGGTTCCACTCGAGCAATGGCCTGATGCGTGCGCGATGTCACCCAGCGGCCTCCTCAGCGAGTGTCCAATCCATCTCAATCCACTTTCTCCTGGATATTTGTTGGGCGATTTGTTCTTGTTTTGTTTGTTTGTGCCCATAGTTTCTTGTTAGTGATTCTTTTCGGCCCGGCCATCTGATCTTCAGTATAGAGTGGAGACAGTTGTTAATAAAGGTCTGCAACAGGCTGTTGGAAATATTCTTTGTGACCCGTCCGCCAAGTTTCTGATCCGTATAGGAGAACTGACTGACTTGACTTTGTTAGTATCGAAAATCCGACTGAATTTTGTTGTTGATGTTGGCTGAGTGACGAAGATTTCCAGATTGGTTGTTTCAGGTTGATGACTGAATGTGTTTCTCACCTTCCCGATTCTCGATTTGACATCCTCGTCCGTTCCGACTACCTGTAGTTGAGACAATGCTCCCTAGATAAGTGAATGAATGAAGTAACCTCTTTTTGAAATCCCTCGTGTTGATGGTGATTGGTGCTGGATGTTACTGCTGTTGTTGTTGTTGTTGTTGGTTGGTTAGTTATTTTCATAACCTCCATCTTGTCTATGTTCACCTGGAGTCCTGTCTTCACTGTCTGCTTCTTCGACCATTGTGTCGGTTTCCGCTTGTAACTCTTCGACTTTGTTTGACATCAAACATAAATCATCCACGCGCGAAATCCAGTTCTTCTAGGTTCTTCACGTCGGTCCAGGATATCCCTGTCTTCTCGTTTCCCACTGTCTGACTAGCAATCCAGTCCACTTCAATTAGGAATATGATTCCTTGGTGATGCTAAACACCCTTGTCTGACTCTTGTGTTTACTCCAAACGCTTCACTGAGTTTTCCATTGTGGATCACTTGACATGTGCCACCGTTGTGGTGCAGCTGTTGACACAAGCTTGATGAATATTTGGGCGCTGCATGCCGTAGTACTCGAGTAGTTTCCAAATTATATATATATACCTTTGTACTGTTTACTGTTAACAGCTTCAACAAGTCATCAAGAGGACAAAACAAATTTTAGATGCTCAAGAACTCACCTTGAACTCTATCTCATTTGATACTACACATAACAATGATGGTGATGACGATGATAATAATAATAATGAAGGCATGACATCATATAAACAGCCAACAACAAACAATGCAACAGAACATCAAATTGACTATAATGATGAAATAAAAAGCATCGAAGTGAACGAGAAGAAGAAGAAGGAGACATTCAGTCATCCAGTGTCAAATGCATGTACACTAAGTGAAAGTAAATGTCTAGAATTTCCAGAAAAGTTATTTTACAACATAAACGCTTCACCTGTTCTTTGTTATAAACAACAACAACAACAACGATCATCATCAACATCCTCATTCTCATCACATAATTCTACTATTTCATTTGTGAATATTAATAATAATCACGATAAGTGTATTGAGAAGAAATTCAAGGCGAATAATCTACAACAATCAATTATTGAAAATTTCCCGCAAATTAATGAAAAGGATAAAGACAATACAGAAGAAGAAGAAGAAGAAGAAGTAGAACAACAACAACAACTGCGACAACAACAACAACAACAAAATGAAAAGGATGACGAAGGAGGAGATAGGGAAGATACTACTAATACATCTGTTTCAGATGAGAATAACAGACTTCAAAGAGGTATGCATTGGTTTTTGTTTTTTAATAAATATAATTATAAAAGGTGCGTCGGTGGTATAGCGGTTAGGACGCTCGCCGGCCATACACATGGTCCGGGGCTCGATCCCCGGCCGCGGACGCACTCCCTTACCTCGCTAAGCCAGAAATAATGCTGGTAAAGAGGCAGCGTTGGGGATGGGGCTAGCAACCCCATCCTGTAAAAATGAACACTGCTACAGAAACTTCAAGCTTCTAGCTTGAAGCCGCCTATGTTCCACTGGGGAACGTGAAGGAAAAAAATAGTTATAAAAGACTGATTAACATAGTGATCAGCGAATATTCTATTCGATAACTTCTCGTTCACCAGGTTCTACGATTATATACATGTATCACCCTGCATCGTGATTAAGTTAATGATGTTCGTCGGTGGCACAGTGGTTAGGACTCTCGCCGACCATGCAACATGGTCCGGGGTTCGAGCCCACGCCGACGCACACCTGATATCTATGGTTGGCCTGCGAGTTTTGGGCTACCGATATCCACGCTGAAAATTCCACACTTGTACCAAAAATACGGTGTGGAATCAAGCTGTAACCAAAAATTTAAAAAAAAATAAAAATAAGATAAACAAAATCTATTCACATAGCGCTATTCTATCTCATCTTGTGGATGTAGAACACAAGATTGATGTCAAAGAGGTGGCTTTCAAAGTCATTTACCGCATACCAACAAATCTTAACTTGACCATAAGAGTTCGATTACTAAATATTGCTGAGACTGGTTGTTGGGATCCATATTAACAGACCTAACTTGTGCGTCCAAAAGAAGTTAGTTCAGAAGTTATCCTTACACCTTGGCCATCTAGGTTTCAGTCATCTTGAATTTTTGTGGAATTTTCCTTATTTTAGTTAATATTCTATTTGCTACTATATCGTTATTATTATTATTATAATTTAAGCATCTTTAATGAACTGTAATTGCATTGTGATCTTACTTTACAAATTGATATTATTTAAAAAAACACTAATATTGTTATTGACTACTATTCTAGAATATTCTGTGTATATAAACATGTACATACATGTAATTGTAGAGCGAGAAGAGGAATTTATCGAAAAGGACATTATTTGCTCAATTATTTTGTGTTTTATACTTGCATAATATAATCAAAGAATTATTTTTATCAACAATACACTGACGGTTTAAGCAACACAGTAAATCAATTATACTGAAACATTACAGTTAAAAAGTATGTTTGAAACGATAATAGGCATAAAAATGTAATAATAATAATAAACTGATTATCAGATAAATGATAAAACAAAATCACAGAGAATTTATGAATTTATAGGTTCTACAACAGTCCAGGATAGCAATAGTGACTGGACCTGCTTCTTTTGTATCCAGAGCCTCGGTTGTTTTAGGCGAATTTTAATGTCCACTGCCGGCCATTGAAGATTCTTTCTATCATCTGTGGAATATGGCATAAAGCCTCTAGATACTAAACACCCCAAACGTCATAGACCATTGCGATTCTCTTTAAACAAACTGAGCTCTATGTGTGCCAAAGAAACAGGTCCAATCACTTTGCTATGTTAACCTGTTGTATTATATTATTAGTAGTATTCTCTTGGGTTCCGAGTGGAGCATAGGGAGGGCTTCAACAACACATTTCCACTTCGTTCTATTGTCTGCTGTCATCTTCAGCTGGGTTCACGATTTCCTCCATGTCACCCTTACACCTCACAAGGTTAACCTTGTTTCTATATTAGATCATTCTTGTATTATCCGATCAATTATCTAAACCTGACAAACTTCATGTACACACACACACAAATAGTTAATGACAAGCCTGAATAGATCAGTGGTAATGTTACTGACTGGAGCATTGGATAACACGAGCTTGAATCTCAGGAGGGACATGAGTTTCTTCAAGTTTGCAGATACGCCTTGCTGACTGATGGGTGCTAACTGTCAGGATACATAAGTCCAAAGCATCTCGCTGACTTCCACCAACCATCTGGTACTTGTAAAGTACATAATTTAAGGTAGAAGTAAACGTAACCAGGTAGAACTTGACCGCTGATAAAAAACACTTCACAACTGTCTAATTTGCAGTTAAAATACGTTATTATTATTATCTCTTTTTGGGATGAACAGAAACTCAGAAATTTGTCATCATACGCTAATATTTTCGACCACCCCCACCCCACCACCATCAAATGGCCATATATTTTTTGGATAAAGGATACAACTAGCTGATTGCCCCCCCCCCGCCCAATATCAACCAACTGAAACCAACCAATCAGACGGAGTGCAAAATATTATGAAATGCGAGACGATGAGGATGACGATTGGTCGATCATAGTTTTATACAATATGGGGGAAGGAAAATTGACATGTGAGTTGAAGGTTGTAAAAGGCGTTCGGCTGAGTGAGTGACTGGTTAGTACGAAATAGTGAGCATTAAGGTGGAGGAGATAGCAAAACTGAGATGAACAGTTCACCACGAAACAACCAATATGTGAAGTGAAACAGATGGAGGCATATAATGAGAAAAAAGATCGCTAAATATCGCGAAATAATGATTCCGAATTGTATAAGCGGAAACTTCATATTAATGTATGTGTAAAACTTATGCACTGTGGTAGTAAGTAATTCCGTATTAGTTTGTTTATTAAATGTATCACACACAGTGAGTGAAACAGTATTATTTACTGGATGACAAAGTTTCGAACAAAACTTATTGTTCATAATCATATCAGTTGTAATCACACGGTTTCGAAACTCGAGTTTTATAGTTTTATTTCTTCTCTCCTATTTGTCGTCGTTGAGGTAGTAGAATTTTCCAGATATCCGGGTGGAAAGGAGTTGGATCATTCCTATGAAGTGTATTTGATTCGACAAACAAAGCTTCTGTTATCAATCTCTCCCTCCAACCCGTTGTTACATTAGATTTTAAAACTGTCATCTTATCCCATCCTACTGTGTGATTGTGTGTGTGAATGCATGTAGTAGGTGTTGTAGCTGAACTATTCTCTAGATTTCTTATCTTATTCGGTTCAACTAATCTACATTTTTCTAGGTTTTTATATTCGGCTAGTCTGATTCACTGCACCTGTTCTACTAGTGTGACCTATGTATTTCACCTGACAATCATTGCAGGCAAGGTATCATATAAACTAAATTGTTTTGTTTTAAAGGCTCCACAGGATCCTTTAACCGACAAAGCTTGTTCCTAATTGAGTTTGTGGTTGGTTTGAATGCTAGCCACTTTTATTTCTGCATGCCTTGTTAAGAATTCTGCGTAAGGTGGTTCCCGAGGTTCCTTCCTTGTAGGGAATTACTTCTGATGATTTAGATTCCCTATTGTTGGTGTTGTCTTGCGCATATCTGACATGCATGTCATCATTATTATTATCATCACTATCGCTACTATCATTATTTATTTTATTTTTATATTTCCTTACATATTTCCTGACTAATTTATCCGGATAATTATTAAGTTTCAAGGCTTCTTTTATGCGTATCACATCCTGTCTTAGATTTTCCTTGGTACTACTTAGTTTTTGTGCTATGTCATTTAAACATTCCACCAATCCTACTTTTACTAACATAGGATGGGATGATCAAAACTCCAGATATCTGTTTGAACATAAAAACCTAGAAAAATGTAGATTAGTTGAACCGAATAAGATAAGAAATCTAGAGAATAGTTCAGCTACAACACCTACTACATGCATTCACACACACAATCACACAGTAGGATGGGATAAGATGACAGTTTTAAAATCTAATGTAACAACGGGTTGGAGGGAGAGATTGATAACAGAAGCTTTGTTTGTCGAATCAAATACACTTCATAGGAATGATCCAACTCCTTTCCACCCAGATATCTGGAAAATTCTACTACCTCAACGACGACAAATAGGAGAGAAGAAATAAAACTATAAAACTCGAGTTTCGAAACCGTGTGATTACAACTGATATGATTATGAACAATAAGTTTTGTTCGAAACTTTGTCATCCAGTAAATAATACTGTTTCACTCACTGTGTGTGATACATTTAATAAACAAACTAATATGGAAGCGGAAACTTCGTTAGTATTGAAGGAATTCTAGAACGAAGGCGTGTAAATTATAAAACATTGAGGTTAAAACTGTTGGGAAGTAGATAAAAATAAAATAAAAAAATGAAATTTAAAAATATGATAAACAAAGCCAAAGGAAGAGGGATAAAAGGAAAAGGCTTTGTTAAAGGGGAGAAATTTTAATCCAGGTTCGCCCACGATAGGAACAAAGCTTAGATGTGTCCTTTTAGAATGCAAAGTTCCAGTTTAGTCTATCTTATTGTGTTAGGATCTGTATGAGGATTTTTGAGTCACATTGACTCAAAAATGGAGTATATGACCTTGAAGGCTAAGGCAACATATATGAAAGAATTGAACTTTTTATCCATTCAGTTTTACCTTTTCTGAACCAAGCCAATAAATGTTGTCGAGTCTGTAGACGAACCTGAACAACTGTGTACTCTATATATCTTAAACCACAGGAACAGATGAAACGATACATGTAAGAGGAAGAACTAAGATTAGGTAAGACATTTTTCAGTTTCGGGGTGAATATTGGACAACTACTGAAGGATATGGGTAGAAAATCCAAAGTAGAAAGTCATTTCTGTCGCTGTGATTTGACGTTGAGATAGAATCTCAGTAGACGCAAAAATAATGTCTCTTCCTTTACCATCGCCAGTTCATGCTTGTGACTACTATAACTAACCTATGTTGGTATTTAATTGGTGGATGGTGACTAGCAGTGGAATCCAGGGTGCACATTTCGTCCTATTTGTGACCCATTAGCTGGATGTACCTGCATTTCTCAGTGAGTGATGATGTTCCCACCGAGGCTCGAAACCAGTACCCATAGTTTCAAACGCCAACCTATGTTGGCTTTTATAAACTTCTCTGAATATCCATCCGTTTTCGCCTAGAGTTCTTTGTTTTCACAATCTTCAGAGCAA